AAATCAGCGGGGCCACCTGGGCTTGGCATTGAAACTTCATTCATCTCCAGAAATGGATTCCAGTGGAGGGCAAAATCAAATTCTCATTTGCAAGGCAAGGGGAGAAAGAGAGGGAGTGAATGCAGGAGGTACCTGGGAACGCTAACCTCTGGGTGAACCCGCCGCATCTGATAGTTTTGCTATTTGTCTGTGACATTGACAGCTCTGGGGGAGATTAGGAGCCACCCTGCCCCAGCTTCCCACTTTGCATTCTGCCTATGTGCCTCTTTACAGATGGACTGCTGCACATTTACCTTTGCCTGTTTTCCCTGGGTTTCAACACGACGCTATACCAGAGGCAACGGAGGGATGTAATTATATGCTATGCAACGATAAAACACAGCAAATGAGGAGAGAGCTGCGTCAGAAGGCTCGCAGACCGGGAGGATGCAAAAAACTACACTGTGTGGCTTTTGGTGGGGGGAGAAGCCGGAGATGAGAGTGATGAATGCCCTTCGGTTAAATACGTCCAAATCCCCCCTTCAAGCCGCTCTCTTCTTGCCAGGCAGTGAGTGAGTGTGTGAGAGAGAGTGTACAAGATTAATAGTGTAAACAGCGAGGGAGAGAGAGAGGGAGAGAAAGGCAGCAGGGAAAGAGAGAGAAAGAAAAGACTATCAGCATCTGCAGCAGCACAGTAGCCCTGGGGGAATAGTGTGAACTTTTGAACCCGGGTGGCAAGCAGTCGCAGCGATGCACAGAGCCTGCTCCTGCCTCTAATGTGTGTTCTTGTGTGCTCGTGTGCTCGTGTGTGTGTGTGTGTGTGTGTGTGTGTGTGTGTGTGTGTGTCAGGGAAAAGCACACAGCCTGTGACTGAGGAAGGAAAGGAAGGGAGAGGGAAGGAGAATGAGGAAGACTTGAAGTCATTAACATATTTTCTTCCTTGCAAATGAGCTGCCGCTATCCAAATGTCACAAAATCGTTACACCGATGAATGCCGAGAAGAATTAATCTCCAGGCAGATATTCTGACGGGTAGATACAGTAGATGGTTATCAGAGAAAGTCCAAAGAAACTTCATGACTGATGGGCGTCCTGTGACAGGAGGGCCGATCATTCACACAACTCTGGACTGAGTGCAGACAGGTCACAGGTTGGTCAAGCGAGAGGCCAAAGGTCAAGAGTTTAGTATGTGGGCAGACAGCATGACCACAGGCCAACAAACCTGCAAGGAGGTCATCTATGCAGACCCAAAATACTGTCAAGGTGCTGCATACAGATGAAACCGAAAATGTATTGCAGTGTTTCAAATTTGTTGTCCTTTCTTACTCAGGGTGAGCATCCAGCTCTTTCTTTGTGAGTTAATTTGCCTTCAAGCATAGACAAGGGGCCAGTTGGCGCTTTCAACATTGCTGATTAACCCTCTAATGGAGCATCAATCTGTCAGCTGGCAAAACATTTTTCCTATTTTGCAAGCCAAAAATACCCATTTTTTTTCAAGCTTCAGCTAAAATGAAAAAAGAATGCGATTGAATATTCTATTTACCGGCACTGTGTGATAATGTTGCTACTGTGCATTGGCTCGTCATATTCAAATGAGAAATATGCAACAGCGAGACATACATTCAAATTGGTTATCCTACTGCATTCTATTGCAAGTAATTGGTTTAGGAAATTGGGTCTGCAAAGTAATCATTGACAGGAGTCTCATTGCTGCATTCTTTAAAAAGGCCACAACCCCACAAAACACACCTGCCTTTAGTGTGACTGATTAACGGCCGGAAACTAATCAGCAACTGATTTTGATAATTAATTTATCATTCGGTCTAAACAAAAATGCCAAACATTCCCTCGTTGCCGCTTCTCAAATGTAAGAATATGTGGCTCTTTCTTTGTCTAATGTGACAGTAAAGTGCAAATGTTTGAATAAAAGACAAGGGAAGAAATCTCCTTGGCCTTCAGGAAATTGTGAAATTTTAGAGACAAATGATAAACCTAAATTGAAGAAACAATCAAATAATGATTAGATGCAGCACTAACTGCCAATATATCAAATTCAATTATCTCCAAGACATATCCTATAAATCAAAAGGATAATATAATCTATGCTTGATTATCTACAGTAAATGACATAGATAGATAAAGTGAAGAAAAGAAAAACATGCACATGGTAGTTTTGTTAATAAATACTACATTCACAGCTGAGTTAATAGAAGCTATGGTGCATCATAATAGAATCATTACAATCACAAAGACGAAAGGGGATGCGTATCAAAAGCATCATCTTTTTGCACACGACTTGAAACAAGTCTCTTCCTGTGGGACTCTGTCATCGCTGCAGCTTCCTAGCAAATATCCCCGAGCGCCCAGTGGTGCGACCCCAATCAAAGAAAAACAAACAGGCCATTTCGACTTCGTAAACTTGACCTGTAAACAGCATGACGGGGCTAAAAGCCCTACATCCCAGGCTGTCTCCTGGGGTGTGTGTGTGTGTGTGTTATTGTGGAAGAGATAATATACGCCAGAGGGAGAAATGGTGTGCATATATTTGTTTAGGATGCAACATGTATTGGAATGGCAGATAGTATGTGATGAGAAAATGTGGGCTCCGAATAGCACAGAGGAAGAGGGAGGGAGAGAGAGAGAGGTGTAGAGTTGGAAAGGGGGCAGACGAGGCTGGGGTGAGGCTGCAGGCGCGGTCAGGTCACCGGTGCGGTCGGCGGGTGAATCTCAGTTCACATTACCATGCAGACACCCAGGCTAACAATGGAGGCTCCATCTGTTCCTGTCAGCCATTACAAATCTGGTGTCACCCAGTCCGCTGAAGACAACAGGCCACCGCATCTAATCAAACGGCACAGGCTCCTCCTGCGTGTAAAAGCAGCCATCGACTTCACACTCACTCACTCTCTGGTTAGGGAACAGAGAGCAGCAAAGGCAGGCAGTCGATTACCACGGATAATACATTCTCCCAGTCACAAAGTCTCTATTGTGTACAGTAGCCTCAAATAAAATGATACAATTAAAGTCAAGGCGGAAAAAAACTACATTTTCTATCTTCTCTTTAAAGCCAAGAACCATTTTCTAAATTACAAAAAAAGGTGCTGATTTTTGCATTAAAGGCTATAGAAGAAAATTCAAATCCACCCCATGGATGATTGTTCCCTCAAAAAATGCCCCTGATTTCATTAGGTGGTCATGCCATTATTTTCCACAAACACTCCCTCTTCCATTGAAACAGACCGCCCAGCAGAGAAGTGTGAGCTGTTTCTTTCAACTGGCAGTGAACAGAGAATGAACTATGAACTCCACATGCCCTTTGAGTGAGGACACAGGCCATTCACTACGCTAACATGGCTGCAGCAATAAAAAAAGACACACAAGCTGTGGGGTGTAAATTTGTCTTACACAATCAAATGTTATGATTATTGATCCAACAATACAATGTGTGTTTTTTTTAAAAGGTAGGTGTTAAGTGTCGAGGGACATTCGATATTCACAGCAAAATGCAAATAAAAAAAACAGATTCTGTTAGTGCTGCATAATAGGCTATTTCTCACATTTAACACCAACAACAGTGTGATACAATGTTCGAGCTTCAACAACTAACGCACTCACAGTAACAGACGGCGTAGTTTGTAGTTGGGCGTGTTATCGTTATAGCCTTAAGGAGACATTTTTTTAAGCATTTTATTGTTTGATTTTGTTTGCATCCCCTTGAAAATCTTGGCATGTTTTTTTCTGAAATAAACAATTTAAAAAAAAATGAATTATCATTGTCTTGTGGTCTATCTTCCCACCATCTGCCGTGATTTGTTAACTCTATTTTTCCAGTTTGAAAAGAAAGGCGGCAGAGGACGGAAGGGTTCATTAAGTCGTTTTTGAATACATCCAGCTGGCATTAACTATCGGTATCACCAAACGACTGCAAACAATGTTCTTTTTTCCTTATTGGGAAATTCCACATGATTCCAGCTTTACCTCAGGAAAGAAGTGGAAACAGAGAGCTCAGAGTATAGATGGGCACCTGAGGCAGCAGAGTCAATAATGCCCACCTGCGGCATGTCACGTCAAGGGCTATTAGCTGGCACATAGAGTCAGAAATACAAAAAGTCTGAACGGGAGGGAGGGCAAGTCCAAGAGAAGGGAAGATAGAGAGAAAGATTGATAAAGGGAGAGAGGGATGGAACACACATGGCCCCTCAGGTACAGTGTTGTATTTCAAACCCGGTTGTGAAAGAATAGAGGGGCTCGGGGTCAATCAATCACTGCATTAGCCTGCAGCTACAAAGCCTCCTCTCTGTGTGGGCCGCCTCCCACAGTCTACACATACAGCTAAGGGGGACAGATCACGCGCTGAGGATCCACCACTGGAGGGAGCTCTAGGTCCCCAATCAAGCCTGCGTGATTTCACCAGCCCCCTTTTTCCTCCAGCCTCAGAACAGTCTACCTGCACACGGCCAGGAGGAGGAGTCACTGGATCCAGGCAGCGAGGTAGGAGGCCAGCGAAAGGGAGGGGGAGTTCACAGATGTGGTCTGTTTTTTCAAATTAAGAGGGTGAGCAACAATATACAACAGAAGGGTTCAACTGTGCATCCTGTGGAGAGGTGGAGGGGAGCCAGTAAGGATGGTCTGCTTGTTAAAACTGCACTTTGTTTTGTTTTCTCAGAGGAGTACTGCATTGTCTCCTGTGACTCCTCCTCTTCACCTTTTCCTTTGTTAGTTGGTTTCCTCGCACACTGTAGTCTTTCAGAACGTTCATACAGATCATTTAGAAATATACGCTACATCACTACATTATCCTAGGTTCAATTAATGGCATGATATTTGTAATTCCGGCTAATGTCTGCCACTCCAATTAAAAACGATTTTCTTTTTTTCATGAATTGCTGTGCTTTGTGGTAAAGTAGAATCAGGCCTCCTTTGAGATCAGATCCCTGCATTGTGCAAATAGACTAAGATCTCACACAATCATTTACACACACACTTTACAGGGAACCAGAATCAGGACTTTTGTTAACTCACACTCAGGGTTTCCATCATCCTGGTAGTCAGAGGCGTCGTCTGACGGGGCGGAGCGACCCAGACTGGAACTGCGGTTGTCATCAGAACCATCTTCGTCTCTAAAGTCAGCTGAGTGTGTGTGTGTGTGTGTGTGTGTGTGTGTGTGTGTGTGTGTGTGTGTGTGTGTGTGTGTGTGTGTGTGTGTGTGTGTGTGTGTGTGTGTGTGTGTGTGTGTGTGTGTGTGTGTGTGTGTGTGTGTGTGTGTGTGTGTGTGTGTGTGTGTGTGTGTGTGTGTGTGTGTGTGTGTAAAAAGGTGTGAAATAGAACCATGTAAAGCATATTGAGTAAGAGGGTTAGGGAGGGATACTTAAAGAATGTAACTTTCAGTAAAACATGATAAACATTAATGTGCCATCGGAATTTTTGGAAAAGTTAGCTAATGGAAGGGGAAATAAATAAAAAAAGATTAAAACAATTTGAAATATAAATCAGTGAATGCTCCCTAAAGTCGGAACAAAAACATCAGGTAAAAACATAGAATAAATAAAACACAATATAAATTGCGATCAACGTGTTGTTTCAACACTCTGAACACTAGAATATGACACTTACTCTAATGATATTCTATCATAAAAGCACATTAACATACACACACAGCTGAAACAACTACAATTATTGTAGATACATAAATATGTGATACTTTCATGATAGAGATTGAGTGTAATTGTACTTACATGATGGGAAGGGGAATTCTTGAGGGTTTCTGTAAATGATCAAATCAGCATATTAATATGTTTTGCACTGGCAAAGCTTTCTGTGCTTTCATTTTTCAGACAACTCAGCTCCAGGTTGACTTTAAAAATAGTTTCCTGTAGAGGAGACCACAGAACCACAAGTTTTCTGTACCAGCGTCTCTGCAGTGCAGGCACACCAGTGGAGCCGTTTCCGGCGTAAACTATCACACACATTCACTTTTTGAAGGGGTTCGAGGACTGTTCATCATGCTTGGAAATAATATCATATTAGGATTAAATTATCCACATCTAAATAGATTATTTGATGAGAACTTTTAAAACTGTTCATAACAATAAATAAGCAGAACCAAGAAGTCTTGAAGGTGACACCATTAGACTAAATTAGTTTTTCAAATGTAATTTTGCAAACTGTGTTTAAAGCAATTACAGCAACAATTAAGGTTCTTGTGTGGTATTAACAGCAAAAGTTAGATAATGGTGGCATGAAATGACTTTGTTACACTTCACTATTAAAGCTTGTTGAACACTGATTTAATGCTGCTTCTAGAGGTAAAATCCTACCCTCGATGGACGACCGCGAAGTTATTCAGTAAGACTTTCCGTGTCTCCTGGGCACTTATACTCAGGTCCTCGTCTTGAAGGATCTCCGCTACAAACAGCTCACAGTCTGAAGAGAACAGAAAAACACTGTATACATGGCATTCGTGAAGGCGCAATGCTGAAAGATTACACTGAATAATACACTGAATAATACTTAATTCGATCAAGGTTATAAGAGTTTAAGAACGATATAAACCTTATTATTTGCTCAAATAATGTACTATAATAAAATCCTTTTGTCAATCTTTCCTCGTTATGTTTCAGGGTCACTTTACATTATGACCCCAGTATAAAACTCAAAATGTATAAGTCTGAAAAGATAATCACTTTCTCAATTTACTTTATACTCATTCAGAAAATGGACAGAACAATATAATGAATTTGAACACTTAGGTCAAAATAATTATGTTTGTTTTTTTAAATATTCACAGGTGGCATTGGGCTATAGTTTATAATAGCCATCATTGGTTGGTAGTTTGAAATAAATCCAAATTGGCATTAATGATAAAACAACTTGTGTTGTTGTCTCATTTTACCAGCCATGGTCAGGAGAGGACTTCACCAGGAGGAGAACTTGCAGTGGCTACTGAAGATGGGCCTTTAGTCAGCGGCTGTAGCAACTCAAATTCAGTCAACACATACCCCAGTCCAGGAGTCCCCTCAGCCTGATGCTGTTGGGCCTGACCTGTTTACCAGGCAGGGCAGTTCCCAGGAGAAAACCCCTGGTGCTGGGGTTTGTGCTTGTCCAATTCAAGTTGCTACAACAGCTAAATGAAGGTTTGTCGCAGAACTGATGCTTACTCTTCTGCCAGTAAAGTTTAGTGGCAGGGAGGAAGAAAAAAACATACAACTAGCTTTTATAGTTTCTACAGACATGCATTTCATCCAATAAACAAACAAAAACCGCACAAGGACTTTGTAGGCCACCTTCAATGCGATTTAAATCCTCTCATGTTGCATATGATGCAGACTCGACAGTGACTCAATATTACCATTCAAGGCACAAGACAGGCTGAACAGGGGCCAACTGTTAAGCATGCCAATTACCATAAATATCTCTACAACAAAATACATTGACTTCCTTGACTGAGGCCCCGGCTCCACGAGGACGAAAACTGGTTGAATCCGCATATTTCTCATGCGTATAGCCCTCTAAGCTCGACGACGCCGTAAGGGAAACGTAGAAACAGACCCCGCAAACGACAACGGGTCCAAAGGTGGATAGATCTGGGAACGGAGCGCTCTGGGGGGTCCAACGGGGCCGTGGAGTCGCCTATACGGTCATTCGTTTTCATAGCCCCGCCTCTCCCCCGCAGGGTTGCTATCGTGCTCCAGTCGCTACTGACCATGCTACAGTTCTTTGTGCAACATCTACAGGAGCTCCTCCTTGAATTCAGATTATTTATCTTTATCTCGATATGGACATAAACGCGAGTGAAGTCTAATCTGACAGGACGGAGACACGCAGCTCCTGCCGCTGTGATGCAGCGGGAGCAAAACACACACTTCAAGTCAGATCATCACCCTTAGCTATTTTAATTACCTCTCAAACTACCTAAACTAGTTATAAATATGTTCATTTTTACTGTCGGGTCACTCATTACAGGATCAGCTGCTGCATGAGACAGACACTGACTGTCAGAAGAGAGGAAAAAGAGACAGGCTCCGTGTATTTGATGATTATATATCATTATATCGTCGTTATTCATTTGTTTTAAAGCTCAATAAATAACAATGAAGACCTTTGACCGGCACTTTTATAATTTTGTCCGGAAGATTTAAACTTTAACACACGCTGACCGGCGAAAAACTCTGCCCGGTTCTGTCGGCCCCCACCGCGGAGAATACACAGAAGTGCAGCCATGACAACCATTCTTCTTCGCTGCTTTTGTGGAGGAAGTTGCTGCTTTTGTGGAGGAAGTTACAGCGCCACGTACAGGTTCGGCATATGTACTGCAGCTTTTCCAGCGTTTGGATGTAAACGGAGCCGTCTCGTGGAGCTTGACACAATCCGGTGTATATTGCGTGGGGACGGAAGGTTTTTTGCGGTTGCATTTGCGTTACTCCGATGCGTTTTGCCGTATTTGTCCTCGTGGAGCCGGGGCCTTAACATCAGCACTGTAACCTCTTCACATTCTGCTGCATGTGAAGAAATGTTTGAATTAATGCATACAACACATTGTACCTTTTAATCCACATCAACAATTGGGTTACGGTCGAATTGTCAGTTTAGCTTAGGAACCTTCCTAACGGAGTGAAATGACCCGGAAGTACCTCAGTGGCAGCCATGATAAGAGCTGTTCTAATTCTCTAGATGATAGGAAAGGAGATTTGAAACTTCCTTTATAACCTCCTTTAGCTTAGGAAACACTGGACCTTCCTTTACAAAGGAAATGAGAAAATGCTGCCCCACAATGCCTTGCGGCCGCAACATTTGCCGTGACACAACATTCGGCCGTTCACGGAAACAACCGATTATGACCGAGAAATGATATCATGAAAGTTACGGTGCTTATTAAGCCATTTAAAACGTATGTGGTAACTTGCCAAAGTGCTTTGTTTTGAATGTTCAACACTATAATAATCAAAAGGACGAATATGAACGTTTGTATTTATTTTAAGATCTTTTCATACAATCATACGTATTGGGATTCATGTGGATTAATATGTTCGGACCGGAGGGTGAGGGTGACAAACATAAGTTTCACTTCACTTTTGTATTTCAATTCGAACCTTGGTCATGAAGAATATGTTTCTCTGTTGTCCACGTTCATAAAGCATAAAACAACACCATAAGAGCACGGTGCAGAGTCTCTAGATGAGTTTACAGTGGTCCGCCGTTCTTATTATACTCCATGTAGTCCGCTGTATAAAAAAATGTACTTTCCCCACAGCAGACGCACATTTATGACATCCGCTGGCGCCTCATAAATACGTTGGATAGTGTAAGTGCAGTCGGATTCTCAAAGCACCGCAGTCTCTTTTCCTAAGTCCTTTTGAATTCTCCTATCCACTATCCCTTAACCCTGTGACGTTTCACACAGAGGTCAAGGAATAGTGGATAGGAAAAGACGATAGGAGCTGATTTTTGGACTATTCGACTGCAACCCAAGTCTCATCTTACAAAGATTACAGCTTCATGTTTTTAAGTCTACTGCCTTTACTGTCGGGAAACTCACAATGGCAGTCTCACTGATGCAAATAAATGAAATAGAGTAGTAATTTTACCCAGTAAAACATGACGTTTGTACCTCAGGTCAGCCTACATTACTTATCTGATACAATATCTTTGTGTTCTCTCATGTAACACAAACGGACTGACATAATGCAAATTATGGTCTTCCAAAGGGCCTGTTTGCCTGCCTGGCAGTATATGCAAATGTAGTAAAATACTGTACGGTTTAAAGTCCGTCTAAAGTATGTTCTAGTTTTTTTCTTGTCACTTTTAAGATTTTATACAAGCAACAAAACATAGACTGAATAGAAAGTCTTTTTTTATGTTGACTTCGCTTAAATGTCTGCGTTTTCAAAAGCAGTAGAATCAAATTATTTAAATGTGATAATCTAAAGTGAAAGTATTCCCGAGTTCGCTAATTATTTTCAAAAGATAAAACGGTACTGTTAAAAAAGCATTATTAACGGTAAGAAGGAAACAAAAAATACATTACCATCCAAAAGCCTCCTAATGTCATTTGGGATAGTCCCCATCCTTGGCTTTCACCTGTCCAACCGGTATGTTGACTTTTCAGACCTTTTCCACCTCTTCACACTTTAGGTTTTCCTCCACAAAGCAGCCTCTGTCATACTGTTACAGCTTGATGACAGACAAGAACCTGGCACAGCCTAGCATCAAACCACCTGTGTCCTCTTGTACTGAAACCTAACTTCCGTGCATGCATCTAGATTTGCACAAAATGGGGAGGAGCAGGTGCACAGATGACAACTTCCTCTGCACTCTGGTTTTTCAGTTGAGGCTTATGACAAGGTTTGACTCACACTGAGAAACCACTTTCGTCTTACCCACAAATGACTGTCGAAAAGAAAGCCTGAGTAGAGGCTGATTTCTTGTACATTGGATACATTTAGCAGCATCAAAGCATAACATTCTTTTGATTCAGATGAGAGCAAACATTTTCAGAGGTCAAAAGAACAACACAATAACGATTATTAAAACAGTAGGCAATTAATTTCCAGTCAATAAGCTTTTTTTTTTAAATGTGTAGACTAATCAACTTATCATCATTATCATTGCAGCTCTAGTCCTGTTACAAATAGAAGTGTTGGACATAATGCAAAATGTCCATCCTACCTTCAACCAAATGAACGTCCTCACATGTCTAGAATGGCAAGAATCTGGAAGTATCCATAAGCAAGAGAATCCCTGCCTGCCAGCTCCAGATATGCTGCTCTGTTGCTGATCTTTGGTAGCCTGACTTCCCCTTCAAAAGGATGACACCAAACAGACAATTTCACCACGGGGATCAATATAGAGCCGCACTTTATTGAAAACAAAACTACAACACATAAGACGGCCCTTATGTGATTCTGCATTTAACAATATAGTATTTCAAACTTAAAAACTGTTGAACTACTCCAGCACAACAGACACTGGTGTATTGAACAAGAGTCAACTGTTCTTTCTGCCTTGAATATTGACATATCAAAGGCCCCTGATACAGTTATGTTTTTGGTGAGGTCCTCCTTTAGCCCTAAAAACCATAGGCCAGTATTTGTTGCATATGCATATTTAAACCTCCAGGATTACAGTGGAGGGACTCAAACAATGGTAGCAGGTTCATACCGGCATAGACTGTTAATATCAAGGTTGAATGTCCTAGATTTGTTCCTGGGCCTATTTATGTTTCGGATTCATCTTTTAGTAGCATTTCCATTAATTAAACATACAAATATAAATCCTGTTTATCCTATCTCAAAGTGGCAAAAGTAATATTCTACAGGCACAACCAATTCCCCTCATATTGGTTAGCTATTAGTATTAGTGTAAATACTATATCAAATCCAAAAAGTATCAATTAATTAATGTGGTCATGACTTTAATGTTGCAGATGGTAATTGTGTAGCTCACTTAAATAGCACAATGCTAAAATACATATTGTAGGCCTATTAGCTAATTGTAATCGTATTGCACTAATAACGTTAAGGGAGTAAAAAGTAAAATATTGGCTTCCAAAATTAAGTGGAGTACAAGTAGCTTACAATTTAGCATAAAAAGGAAATAACGTTACTCTGCTAACAATACATAGCCATAGCCACTTACCGTTAGCTTACATTAGCATCAGCATCAGCGTTGAGAGCCGAGCTGTCACACTGCCACTCACCTGCTAATTAGCTACGGCCGCTTTCCTCAAAGTGTCAGTTCGCGACATCTTTTCTTATTTCAGGTAAATAACGTTACATTACATTATTGTAACTTTGCTTTGTATGTTTTGTGTAAGAAAGTGTTCACCCGAACATGTCTACCAATGTTTTAACGTTGAGCTAACTTGAAGCTAACGTGTGTTTACCTTTACTTGCCCCAACTTGGAGCTTTGCCTGGGCTGTAGCAGCCGACTTTCCCCTTTAGCAGCATTATTCCAGAGTAAACTCATATAGTTAACACATAACGTGGTGTGGTTTGGCTTGAATGAAAGTGCCATGGTTGACTTTGATAGTCAATATATTATATATAGATATTATAGTGGTTTCACTAGCATGTAACATTACACTAGCAAGCATTCAATACGTATTTTCACGAGTTTCACTTACACTTAGGACTACCATGTTTTTCCTTTGACCACGAAGGTGAGTTTTAAATATGTTTCCAAAAGTGTTTTTATTTTAATATGGCTAATTTGTGTGTAGGCTGACCTACGCTGCTTTCTAACTACTAAGTACTTACTATTTTAGCAGGTGTGTTTGTTCATTCAAATTGTGGTGCATTCAAGTGGCCTTTCGCTGTCAAAGATAGAGAGAGAGAGCAAGCGCATTTCGTGGCAGGTACTTCCTGTGGCAGCTGCAGATGCCACCAATGTTGTACAATTGGTTATAAGACATGTTTTAACTTTCACTGTTTAAATTATACAAATCACTACTTTAATTGTTCTTTGATTCAAGCTGGCAAACTAATGAGGGTATTTCTGACAACATGTGAATGCAGCATCACATAAATTACTCCCTCACTATATCTGACAGGGCATGGATGAATGGTTTATATTACCACTAGAGGGTGAACAGCAATGGAACAGACTGGACTGGGCTTCAGAGGAGGGATTGGGGATAGTTGTAATACTAAAATAAATAGTGGTGAGTCTGACCATCGCCTTATTGATCGTGTATTACTGAAACACAACAAGGAAAGCCATCAAGGAGCTGAAGCTCAATCAGACACTGCTCACATCGACAGAATGCACCGGATATCAGTCAAGGCTATGTTGAACTAATGTGTATTGAAGCTCACAAGATAATTATTTAATATCCTAAGCAACATCACACATGCATACACAACATTAATTGCTATTTCACAGACTAACAAGTAAAATAAATGGGTTTAATGCAACCTTTCCCAGCACATCTATATTGCAAAAATAATTATAGTCTGTGTTTATGGATAATTTACATTTTGGTTGTGTTTTTTTAAAACATTATTTTTACAGTAATTGACACAGAAAATTAATTATTAGAAATGTTGAATGTCATATTTTTGGCTGACGGTAATTTTTTCTTATCATACTATTTTGATTATTTGGCCCATGTCCTAAGAGTAAATACTGTATGATAAGAAAATCCACATTTCTCATGAACTACCTACTTAGGAGCACATCCTCATATTTGGTTTCCATGAACTGATGACAAGTTGAATATTAAAGAAATACAACATTGTTAAGGAAAACATTCATATTGAAAGAAGATATTTAATTGACACAATGGTTCCTAATTTTAGAAAAATCATGACTTTGACTAATGTTAAACGTGTGATGTTTATGTGATATTGAATGTCAGTTACATTTGTATTGTTGGATGCACCCCCAAATCTGATTTGTACCTGTTGAACAAATGTGTGGCATTTTTTACTTCATAATAATCATACTAAATATAGTCTTTGGGCACTAAATGCTTCTGCACTAAAATAAAGGTATCTTTTCACATGTAGAAAACTGCAGTAGTGGCAGAATTTTCTTTTTGATTGCATTTGACAATGTTTTAGTATTTTATGTTGATAAGCTTGATATTTGATGATGGTCTCCTTGCCTGTCACTTCTCTACAGGAAGCCACGGGGTCAGAGCAAGTTGAATCCCATGTCAGAATTGTCCCCACGCTGACCTGCGCCTGACTGGCCTCCCAGCAAAAAGCCCCTGTGAAGGTAAGAGGAACTGGGGTCCCCTCCCCTGGAAAAGAGGTTCCCTCCCTTTGACAGCTCCACAGAGCCCCAGCCACCTGCCTGCTGGGTCAGCCCCATATGAAAAGGGAAGCTCTTTGTAATCCGACGGGGATTACACCACCCAACAATGCACCGCTGAAAGAGCGACAAAAGCCCTGTATCAAACGCAGCTGAGGGGGAGCAAGGCTATGATCTCCCGCTACTACCAACACTGACTCCTCCGCCACCTCTCATCTCCCCAAGAGGCTCTTCCCCCCCCTTTAGCATTTGGCTGCCTCTGTCCTCCTTCTGCCCTCTCATCTTTAGGATCTGGCCTTTTATCAGTGCATTCCTTTTCATTTGCATTGCAGTGTGGGGAGGGACAGCGGGTCTCTCTGATCTGATAGAGCCAGGAGAGAGAGTCAGGAGGATCCTCAGGGCATGAAGGGTGTGTGTGTGTATCCTGTCCTGCAAACACACACACACACACACACACACACACACACACACACACACACACACACACACACACACACACACACACACACACACACACACACACACACACACACACACACACACACACACACACACACACACACACACACACACACACACACACACACACACACGACATTGCATTCTCAAGATAGTCTTTCTCAGTCCAGGGGGACAAATAGTAAAGCACCCATGCCTGTCTTTCAGGCTCTGTTTGTCTTTATCTGTATTTCAGAAAAAGGAAGTGCTGTTTGAGGCTTGAATTGAGGAATTTGTGCCTACAATTATGTAAATTGGTCAAATAAATTTCGAGGAAGACTCAAGTAGAGTGAATTGGTTATATTCATTGTACCTGAGGGGGAATTTGTCTGCTTCACCATGCTACAGTCATTTGTTTCACATAAAGAAATACGTGAAATCTTAAAACACAAGAGACCGTTGACCATACATTTGATGTTTGACATTGGCACCTGTAGAATTAAAGTGCTAAGTGCTTAAATGCTTGTGAATTCAGAGCAAGAGATATCATAAAAGTTCAGCAGCGTTTGAGAGACTGACACAAACGATAGTTTTAAGTGGTTGGAGTTGCACTTTGGCACACATCATCTTTTTCCCTCCTTACAAAGGTTTAGAATTCAGAGAAGAGTGGATGTTGAAAGTCTGCAATGATTTTTGTTGCTTGACTTTTAGTTACAACCATTAGTTTTACCTAAGCATAAATCATTCTGTAAGAATACATGTCTCTTTTCTCCAACAGCTAATATCTCACGTCTCAATTGTTGCCCTAATTTAAACAGCCTATTTAAACCCTTGATAGTAATAGAAGGTGGCCTGGTTCTTAAGGGTCTGTTGTAAATGTTTGTCTTGCTCGAGGAGATAAAAAGAGGTAGTTTACTTTTCGGATTTCCTCAGAATCATTGTATTCCCAACCCACCCATTGCTCAAACATATGTCAGTGTAGGGGGGCTTTTGGTGGCAGCGAAGTAGAAAAGTGATGATAGATTGAGGACACAAAAGACAGAAGAGCAAATGTGTTGCGCTAAATCTACAACCTTCAGTCAGCCTTCATATTGACTGACTCGGAGGGGTTACCTCAACTCAAATCAATGTTAGCCCTGAGAGCATTGAATAGAAAATCATTCAAATTGTATTAGGTTAGGATATACGAGCCATTTCCAAATATTAATTCAGCATTATTTGAGGTGTCTGTTAAGGGGAGCAGTTACAGCTCGCAGTGCGTCGACTCGACTGAGTGATTACATACCTCTATTACATGTGATATATGAATGTATGAGAGGGACCTATTTTTCATTACCAAGACATCGTCCCTAGAGGCAGTTGTTAAAGAAGAATCTATGAATTACCCCCCTGGAACAACTGGCCCTTGTCGTGAGTCGAGGAGAGAGGAAAGGGAAGGGGAAAGGAAGGGGAAAAGGGAAGCGCACTATTGATGGCGCTGGGATTGAGAGACTGGAAGGACGCCAGGAGATGCTTGTGATCCTGCACACCGCCGCCGCTCCCTCTGCCCAGTTAATTGGAATACAAAGCAGAGCAGGGTCGATGAGAGAGTGGTGAGGATGAGGAGGGGAGGGGAGAGGAGGGAGGGAGGAAGGGAGGGGAGCTGCTGTCTGTCTCCAGCAACGCTCAACCTTCACTGCTCGCTGGGAATTGACTGGGGAACCAGCAAGCGAGACCGACACACTGTCACTGGTAAAATGAACTGTCACCTTGCATTTCTCAGCCTCCTGGCAGCATCGAATTGGCCGCTTTGAACCATGTGACGTGACACTGATTGAGTTCTGGTTTCCCCCCCTCCTGGGCTCTAAGAGGAAGAAGCCAGTTTAATTTCAAGTGTACAGCCTCGCCATGCAAAGAATCCATGCACTCCCCGGTTTGGTTCTAAACACCAAAACCTTTCATGGGCCGCTCCATTCTTCCTCACCACCCCTCATTATTTCATTGTGCTGCTTCGTTACGCTGCCTCTCAGCTAGTCTTGTTTTTCTTACGGCATATAGTCATGGCGGTCTGACAGGCACACAGAGGAGGAAAACTATTAGGGGTAGCCATTTGGATCCTGGAGGCAATCCCAGGGAGTATTAAGACGTTAACCCTGGCCAAGTCACTTGTCTCTCTCAGTTACTATGCTGATGGAGTGGGGAAAGGATGCAGTCGCAGGGGGGACCCAGGAGGCCGGGGCTTCAGGTCGGCTGGCGCTTCCAGATCCAATAGAGCCTGACTCAGATGGGGGATGGTTGTCAAGAATCTCCCAGTCTGGGCTAAAAAGAGCCTCAGTGCCGTAACAAAGGAAGAAGAGAGTGTGCCATTCATAACCGGGCAGCATTTCTCCACAAGGCTTCATCAGAAGAACTGTGGAAATTAAATGATATTGGTCGAAAGCGACAGTGAAAATCACATATGTGGCTGTTCATGGTTTCTTTAGTTTCTTCTAATTCACAACACTGTCAAATTCTGATAAAAGTGCTAAAACATATATTCTCGTTAATAATAAACGCATAGGGAATCTGAATGCATTTCTTGCATGTTTAAAATGTTCAACCTACATTTTTTTAATTTATGACTTTTTTTAAATCAGTTTTTACTTCTTACTAATGCTCCTACAATAAGTCGATCAGAAGTTAATCAGAACATTTATTTGCGGCTATTTTGATGAATCATTTATACAAATTCAAACACAACTGACAAAATGTAACGATTCCAGCTTCTAAAATAGGAGAGTTTGCTACTGTTAATTGTCTTACATTACAGTAAATAGAATACATTTGGATTTTTGACCAAAAATGAATTGTGATTGGCTATTTTCTCTTTTTTCTGGTGATTTACAGTCTAAACAAATTCCCAAGAAAATAATAAATCAGCAAATGATTGATAACATAGACAATTGTTAGTTAGTTAGTTGCCTTCCAGCATGATAGAAATATGACTTTATGTTTTATTCCTAAAAAATGTTTTATAAATAACTCAGAGTATGGTCGATACTGCTCTGTATCTTCCACTTCAATTGATGCTTATCTCTGCGTCTTGTCAGCATATTAGAGTATGTAGTAGATAATGTAGTTTGATAACATAAATGACTCTTCTGCTGTATCTCTTAGATCACCAACCCCCCGGTATCCCATGAATACTGTTTCTAGTTTCCCTTTGAAGCCCTGGGACCCTGCAGAGTGACATGCGACAGAGGAACTGGTCGAAAACCAAGGAAGTGAGCATGGCAATAGACTTGTAAAAGAGCCAGCAACAACTGCCAGCAGCATGGGGTACAAACCTCAAACAAAGTGCAGAGGGAGGCGGGCCGGCTAAACATGTGTAAGATATCTGAGGAGAACACGCCGGATGCTGTCTATTAATAGACCTTGTGTTTATGCACTGTGCAGTTCGTTTTTTTATTATTTTTCTGACCATAAATGATCTTCTGTCATGTCCCTCAGTGTTCATTAACCACTCTCTCCTCCTTGCCCTACATTCCCCTGCAGAAGGCGAAAAGAGCTTTCCTGATCCGAAGGTGAAAAACATCCTCCTCCTCCTCCTCTTCCCCCGGACTGGAACATCTGTCTCCGTGGTGTTGGCTGCAGTGCCGACTCTGACACCTCCAGATGGAGGACCCGCTGGGAGCGCTGAGGTATTACCTGCAGAGATGGCAGGGATCACACCTCTGGAATGAAGTCCCACACTTGTTTTCAGCACCGTCCCCCTCTTCTTGTTGTTGAATCTGTCGCTATTCACCATATCGATTGTCACCTTGGCCTTGCGACTCTTCTGGAAGCTTTTGGCTGTTAAAGAAATGCGTGACAGCAAAACCTCTCAGCCCCTTTTCTAATTTACAGTAATGGGCCGTATGGTATTTCAACTGTAGCGTCTATAAGTGGAACTGCATTCATTTTTAATATAGTTGCTCAAGAACTGCATGCGGATATATTTCAAATGATTGCTGTTTTGTGTTTCCTACACACCCTTTTTTTTCAGAGGCCCTGAACATATAGCAGTTTGAATAAATCAGAACTTTGACTAAATGGGGTTTAATCTCTGTAGTGTAAATATCTAACGCAATACCTGCAAAAAATCTTAAGTATGAGAGGCCCTCGAGTTGACTGCTCCGAGCCACTCTGGTGTCTTGACAGATTGACTCTGCATTCATTTGTGCCTGAACTCTGCGTGAACCTCAGCTTTAGGAAAAAGGGGACCAACAGGCCGGTGTTGCCGGAGCAGAAACTCTGTGTGCGCAAACCTAACACCCAGTGCAAATATTGGAACTGCTGCCCCTTCACCATCAACTGAAACTAGGTGGTCAGCCTCAGCAAACGTTTATCTTGAGGTGAAGTCACAATGAGCACTTAAATGTCAAACAGTCAACTTTTTCCTCTGATTTAAATGAAAATCTGGGTTGTTTGATTTAAAAAAGTATTTAAAAATAAAAGTGGATGTCATTGCGACTTGTGTTAACTATCTTCAACAGAATTTGGGTAACAAATCAAGGGTGAGACCTGGCTCCCTGGAGTTTGTTGTCATGTTTAGAGCCCCTGGAGGTATTTGGAGGTGAAAAGGTCACTGGGAACCACCCCATGTGCTGTGAAAGATTCCTCTTGTCACATTATGCAAGGAGACTTTGGTGAGACTATTAATGGAAGTGAATATAGAAGAGAATTCGCAAGAACATTCATATTTAGAACAATTTATTATATACATGTATTTTTTTTAAAACAAGGCAAATATTTAAAAGGGAGCACATAATGTATAAAAATGTAAAGTTTGAATCCAATAACCAGCATTTCTTTTTACATAAAAAGCTAATTAAACACTTTTTTTTTCATTTCATAAACTTTATTAAGCTAAAACAGTTGTTGGAAAAATACCCTGTAAATAAATAGTGCAAACAATGACACTGAGTAGTTCAGTGATTCAACACAAAACAGCATGGGCTTATGATAAGAAGGCTACAAGTACAAAAGCGGATGAAAAAACATTTTTAAATGTTTCTCAGAATCCCATTCAGCATTAATCATTGCACAGACACATACCCTGTAAACCTCACAAAGTCCACATGCCCTTTTCACAGTTTTTCTGGAATGGTGCGACTGAGGGAGAGAAGTGGAAAACTCCTCAGGCCTTTACAGTCATATAGTTTTTTTTAAAGTCACATCATGGTTTACTGTCTTTCCCTTTCCCCTTTGGAGAGGTTTCACTGCCAGAAAGTGTCTCTACAGGTGCTGCTCTGCTGACCAAAACGCAGCCCAGCTTCTCGCGTTTTTTCTGCTTCATCCTGCGATTCTGAAACCAGATTTTCACCTGCGTCTCGTTGAGCTCCAGACTGGCGGCGACCTCCACCCTCCGTGGCCGAGTCAGGTATTTGTTGAAGTGGAACTCTTTCTCCAGCTCGGTCAGCTGCTTGGTGGTGAAGTTGGTGCGGATCACGTTGAGCTGGCCGGGAACCCCGAACTCCGACATGACAGCTGTGGAGAGAGATGGATGGATGAATGGATGATGGAGTGGAAAAACATGGAAATCATGACGCTGAGGCATAGATGTGAATGATACATGTGAGGATGAATAGAAAGATGAACGAAACATTAGTTGCCAAATACCTTTAAAGAACTATTTAGGTATTTATCAGTTAAATTGCGTGTTTACGCACTGTGAGTAGCCTACATTTTAGCTGAAAAACCATTGGGTCTCTAACTTCTAGCTCTAATTTTTCAAGTTGAACATACCTGTTTTAGGTGGATTCCTCTTCACTTTCATCCAGTCGAATGTTTTAGAAGCCTCCTCTACATGCTCCAAATCCTTCTCCCTGCTTTGGCTCGGTAACCTTGTGTAAACACTCTCTGGATACTCTGGCTGCCTCTGATCCCCGTTTCCAAAATGTAGATACTGGCCGCCTGTTACAACCCCAGGCCCACAACTGTCCCCGGTGTAAGGAGCCATGTTTGTTCCGAGAGGGGAAACCTGCGAGTGGATGAAGCTCCGGTCCTGCTCGGGCGCCAGGCCGTACTGGTGATGTCCGTACTCCAGAGGTGACCCATACATGGTGTTCCCAGACGGGGTTGCAAACTGCAGATCCAGGTTGACGTGTGCTGCCTGGTGGTGCAGAGGGAGGCTCGGGGGCTGGTGTGGCGCAGAAGGAGCAGGAACTAACCGGCCGTCCGGTGCGTAACTATCACTTGTTGCGCACGAGTTGGACGACATGTATCCATGGTTTAAATTGTGGTATCCGGCCTTGGCACTGAAAATATTCGCCCCCCTGTTACACACGGGGTAGTCTAAGTAGGAGTTCATCCTGGACTCTGCTTTGGCCTTTTGTTTGTTCACAACCGATCAAGACTGAGCAGTCATTAATCGCTGCTCCCTTTGCCCTAACCTTCTAGGTAGTATGTCAAAGCTGTAAAAGTGCCTTCCACCCTCATATCACCTTCCTGACACACCATGTGACCCGCGAAACGCCAATGGCGAAGGACCTACAGCACTCTGTCAAGTCTGCAGGCTCGTCCATCAAACGGCTCGCATTTACATGACAAATGCTTCAATCAAACTCGCTCATCCATCTGATAAGAACACAAACATCAGGACACATTTTCAGACTGAGTGTTACAGAAGCTCCAAATGACAGTTATTCTAATATGGATAAGTCTTCTAATGGCCTCCAAAGACAACAAAATAAAGCATTATGCATTATAATTAACTTGAAAATGCAAAAAATGTAAATAGACTGTTGATTTAACCAAAACTAAATGCCACTAAAGGCGTAATACGACATTTAAATTCTAAGTATGAATTTTTCAAATAAATATCTTTAACATTTTATTTTATTTTATGGCTAATATGCTGTTTCAACACATTTTGTATCTGTTGGGTACAAATTAAGCTTATTTTCTTTTAATTTTGGAAAGGACATTTCGACCTTAAAAACTCGCTGGGATTTTTTTCTAAACATACATATGGTCAAAAGGCGTTTTGGCTTATTACCATACATTTCTCCGGCCTCTCGTCAACAGGAATCCTGCAGACAGGCTCTGACTCAAAGGCAGTGCAGTGAATTCAGTGATCCATCATGCGCTCTTTTTACAGATTGACAGCCTGTGTGGCCCACTTTGCCCATAAAAGAACAAAAGACACATTTAAGAACCATACAGCCTTTTTTTCTGGCGTCTCTTTAAAGACACCAAGAGACTATAATGTAATATCTTCCAAAAAACCTATCGTGTCCACACTCACCCGTAAGTACCCTGTAATTAAATAAGAGTTAATGTTATGTTATAGACCTCAAGTGCTAATTATCTTTAAGAAAAAACTGTGAAAGTTGCCATTTATTCCAACACTTTGGTTGCTTTACAGTCGTCTTTTTGTATACTGGCTCTAAAATTAGTATTTACTTAGGAGACTTTGGTGTAATCTCAACAAATTGCGTATATTTATGTAGCTGAAATAACAGCCAACATTTAAATCAGGGCTGGATGTGTGAACAAAATATTTACAAAAAGCCCATGCGTAAACGTAACACAACATTTAATTAAAAATATAAATATAGCACATAAGCTACAACACAAATAAATAAGACTCATATTTAAAATAAATCGTCCAATAATACATATAAATAAATAAAAATACATGCGTCAGAACAGATCAGTGGATTATTTTATAAATTAAATGAAGAATGTTTTTGTGAAGAATTGAGGGCATGTGTCTGCTACAGATGAGTCAGTTTAGGAGCTTGCATGATTCTGTCCTGAGTGCATCTCTGTTGGAAATATGACCCGTTAATATCCTCATCTGGGTCTGTTGTGCGTGAGTCGGTGTGCGTGTCGTACTGCATGTTAAACTGCGGGCGGTGCGTAAAGCCTGGAGCGGGATATTTTGAGTATTCTTCCGGGTACGCCGGCTGGGCCTGGTGTTGTTGGGACTTGAGCTGAGGGGAGGCCGGCTGGTAATCCCCGCCCAGATGGACATAACCCAGGCTCGACAGAGTGGGGCTGCCCGGGGCGGAGGGGGAGGACGGGGGAGAGCAGGAGGAGGTGAGGCCCTGCACCCGCTCGTCCTTCTTCTGCTTCATCCTCCGGTTCTGGAACCAAATCTTGATCTGCCTCTCGTGCAGGTTGAGCAGGCTGGCCATCTCCACGCGCCGCGGTTTGCACAGGTAGCGGCTGAAGTGGAACTCCTTCTCCAACTCCACCAGTTGCGCGCTCGTGTACGCGGTGCGCGTCCTCTTGGAGGCCGGGGGCGCGCCTGGACACTTCTCTTCGACGCTGGTGCACTCTGTGGAGACAGGAAAATAAATGTTGAACTGGTTGTAATGACGAAGAGGTTTGTTTTTCTCTTTTATTTTATTAATGATTTCCAGATCATTCTCAGTTTTTTTCTTTGCCTGCAGTCACTCAGTCTGCTCCTTATTTACTGTCAGTTTGCTGTTGTGTTACTCGACTCTGTTGTTCAAAAAGCATGCATGATTCATCAGGTTAAATAAATAATAAGACAAAAAACATACAAATCCACAATCACAGGGTGAGAAAGAAAGGTAAATGATAGCCAGAAACCAAACAAAGATCAGGTAGGCCACACAAGGTTGTTTACAAGGGACAGAGGTTGTGGTGTAGCTACACAAAGATTTGGTGTGTATTGTTGCTAAGATTAGTCGACTAATCGATTAGTTGTTTATAATATTTTAATTTAAAAAATGCTGTTGTCACCCTCCCAGATTTCCCACTTTTCCTTGTTTTATATTACCTTAAAGTGAATATTTTGGGTTTATAGACCGACAAAATAAGACATCTAAAGACACCATCTTGGACTTGAAACCTGAAACTGGGATAGACATTAATCTTTTGTTTCTGCCATTTTACAGACCAAACGATTAATCCTTGATCTGGACATTAATTTCCAGATAAATCGATAGTAAAAATAATTGTTACTTGCAGCCATAAGATGACAGGATAGGTATTTCAAAAATGGTGAGCAATGGATCATTAGCTGACGAAAGTGGTAAGGGGTGGATATTGGACAGATTTTTCATTTTTATTTGAATCTAAATTTAGATTAGCAGATTGTAAAGGCCTCCATCACCAGCCTGCTTTAAAGGGACTGATTATTATTCCGCCTTATATAAAGTAAATGATATTGATTAAGAGAATGTGAGCTACATATTTTTTCTTTAACCCCAATTTTTAATTAGTTTTACTGTGCCCTTTAATTTTTCATTATTTCATACAGTTCAGTTTTTTCTGTTTTGCTTAATAAATGGGGTGAATGAATATGTGGTTAGGATTCTGATTAATATAATGTAAGCTTAATAACTAAACTAATGTGTTTGTCCTCGACTGTAGCTTCATTAATAGGCACCTGACCTTTTGAACCTGAAGAGGAGAAAATATAAATTAATTTCCCCCATTAAATGTATGAGAGCTCGTTAAAGGGACATAAATGAAAAGGCCTCATTTGGAAACAACTGCTGTCTCTTCTTCCACTCATACAGACCTGCGATTCTCCTGTCGTGTTTCTGATTGGAGGGTCTGGACTCTTTCATCCAGGGGAAAATCTTTTTGCTCACAGGAAACTTTTGCAGTTTGGATCTTCTGCGCTCAAACGTCTCCACTTGCGCCAGTTGTTGTTTTTGTTGTTGTTGTGCGGCTGTGCACCCGAACCCGCCGACAGCCTCCAGAGACTCGCTGAAGAAGAGGTCGTCTTGATGCTGCTGGATGTTTTGTGTCGCACTGCCTTTCTGCATTTTTCCATTAAATGTGCACCGGGGCCCCCTTTGACCTTCTGACGCAGCGCTGGCAGCCAAATGTCACATGGCAGGTTTCCAGAGAGCCCTGCAGCTTCTGGCTTGAGAGGATCCAGAAAAAAGACGGAGAGAAAATCAGGGAGGAGACCACATGATCCATCTTATCAACTCAATAGTAGGCTGACATGAATAGCGAGCCTTCCCTGGCCTGAGAGGCAAATTAAATAAGAGTTTGGTGAAAATACACCCTGAGAAAAAACACCAATAGGAAAGTCTAGTACAATTTGTAAAGAAATTAAACATTGTCTTTATATTTCCCCCCTAACACTAATTCAGAATGCACTGGCCTCCAGTTTTCCTTAATGTTTGTATTGTGTTGTAATGCAGATCAAATAAGCCAAAAAATTAAGATTTCAGTTTATTAAAACGAGATTAGTTTTGGGGATTTTTGTTTATCTTTTAAAATGGTGGAGATATGAAGGGTACCAAAAACAAATAGCACACATGAATGCTAATTAGTCTGAGGATAAAAACACAGACATAAATAGGCCCACCAAAATAAATTATATTCTATTATAAATTCGTAAAATATTAGTTTTACTAGTTTGTATATTGTAATATATATGTTTGTGTTTTCTCAAATTAGATTAGATGAGAATAAATAAATAACAACCTTTATCATCTTAATGCATGATCCTGTCAGTAAGTATTTTTTAAAGGGACATTTTTTTAAAGATCTTATCACAATCTACTAAAAATCTCATCCATCTCCATCAAACACAAAATAATACAGACGTCCATTGTGCGCCGTGTTCAGCCGTGTTTCTGCGCCAAAACGCGAAATAAAGGAACAAAACACATCTGATTCGAAATCTTAATTAAACGCAATTCAACACAACATAATTACTAATAAGCAGGAGTTTCGGTGGCTGCGACAGAGGCACTGAGAGAGAATAAAGTCTGGAGGCATGCAGCTTTATGAACTCTGGGTGAACCGCGGCTTGGAGTCAGGCTCGTAAATCATAAAGACACATAACCCAGTCCGCGGCACAACACCCGGCTGCCTTACCTCCACAACCTACATTCATCCGGCACTGAAACAATGCTCCCCGCAAACAAACACACACCAGCTTCCTCTCTCTCTCACCTTTCTTTCCTTTTTCCTTGGATAACCTCCCCAGATTAGAATAATCCTGCAGAGAAAGCAGCGGCTCTCTGCTCGCATTAGATGATGATGATGTGGCTTTGCATGCCAGTGGGGTGAAGCAGAGTGGACAGTGTTCCTGCAGCTCACACCGCCCTGCATAGCACACAATGTCAGCCTGTGTGTGTGGGAGTGTGTGTGTGTGTGTGTGTGTGTGTGTGTGTGTGTGTGTGTGTGTGTGTGTGTGTGTGTGTGTGTGTGTGTGTGTGTGTGTGTGTGTGTGTGTGTGTGTGTGTGTGTGTGTGTGTGTGTGCGGGGGAGAAAAACCTTTCTGCTGATCATGCAAGCTCATATATGGAAATAGCATGACTGTAATAAAGAGACGCTTTTCTATATGGTGAAATGGCAATTATAGCAAGGTGGCCAAAAAAGGCTGAATATGTTTGCCTTTAAAGCGCATTTTAAGTAGATTTAGATAAAAAAATGCCTCCCACTATCTTTAAAAACCTGCTATATTAAGTTGTATTTTCCCAGTTATGTGAACACACAAACATCTCTATTTTCGTCCTGGGAACTCGTCCAGAGCTGTTATAATAAATTCAAACATCCCCTTTAGGAGCGATGCCAGCAGATGCAATAAATTACTCCGGCAAAGAAAAGCGATCAGTATTTAGTCTGGATTTTTTTTTTTTTTTATTACACATACAAAGTGCATTACGTCTCCTTTGTGTAATGAGATTTTTTTTGTTTTTCTAATTTAAATGAGTGAGTCATTTTGAAGCAGTGAAGGGGAGACAGACAGTGGTCAGCAGCAGCGTCCATTAAAAAGCTGGTTCTGTAATGAGGCCTTGGTTTGTTTTACACGGTGACCATCAGACTGCTGCAGAGCATCGATCTGTCGGAGCTTTGATGTCTCATCTTCATGTTTTGCTCGATCGCTTGGATTGGCTCTGAAAGGTAATATTTAACTGAGTGGCGTTAATTAATGCTAATGACCATCTTTGATCTGTGAGCCGTGCACACAGAAACATTTGAATATAGAGTGACCAGATCTATTTCAAAGTTGTACACGAGCTCCATGCTGCAGCTGCACCATGAGATCTAACTTTTAAAACAAATGATTAAAATATCTCAATGCCACTTTATTAGCCTATACATGGCCAGTGGTGTACACTAAGTATTTATGTACACTTGAGGTACTTTTACTTTACTTGAGTATTTCCATTTCCTGTTACTGTATTCTTATACTCCATTACAATTCAGATGCAAGTATTATACTTTTTACTACACTATCTATTGGACGGATTACCCTTAACATTAAAAATAAACATGTGATATATGATATTATGCAGTCCTATAATACTAATGACATACATAGTATCTCAAATTGGCTCCAAAAAGATAAACATGATGTTAACATTGATGTAATACTGATTATAGTTCAAAAATGTGTCTGAATGTGTCCATTCTGCACATTGAGTTGTTTTACTTTTAGTACTTTAGCTACACTTTAAGTAATATTTTGAATCAGGTCTGTTTTTGTGGAGTATTTGTACACTGTGCCCTTTGACTTCTTGCATAACTAATGCAAATAATCCAATACAAAAATCCTACAATATATTATTTCCTTTATCTAAAGCTATCAGTCACATATTGTAGGTTATGATTGGAGTAAACAGCAATGACAACTGAGCTTCCTGGTGATGAAGGCCATGAAACGTAACGGAAAGCTCTGGAAATGTAGATTTATTAATCACCTTTATGGAGGGTGTAGTGCTGATAAGTTATGTCCTAACAAATCAATGCATCTTAATGAAAACGCAGTGTAGGTGTACATAATAATCTGACATGCACTGGTAGAATGTATCAATAACAACAACTACAGTGTGCCACTTTGACTTACTTTTAATGTACTTGAGTATTTCCATCTTACGCTATACTTCTACTCCACTACAGTTCAGTTTGAATGACATTTTCATTTATTGTTACAGATTAGTTTTTAGAATTAAAAACAAATAATGGCCTATATGATATTATGCAGTACTACATCTAACCAGTAGTATCTCAAATTGGCTCCACAATGATTAACTGCGACATTAAAATGTATTTGTTGGTGGGATTTGTTGTTGGTAATATAATATAATATAAATCTGCAGAACAAATACTTTTACTCATGATATTGTAGGAACATTTAGCTGACTATGCTGACTAGTGGTGGACTGTAAGTAAATGTACTCAAGTACTGTATACAATTTTAAGCTGCTTGCGAGTATTTTGTAGTTTCTGCTATAGATTTCTATTTCTATTGTATTGTGTATTTCTACTCGAATATATTTACTTGTTCTCTTATAAATCAAAGTTCACCTTTACCAGCTGCAACATTAAATCAATAAACACATTAATGAATTACAAGCTAATAATACAACATATATAACAAAAGGCTCCAAGAATGTACTTTTTCTAGTACTATTACTCTTGGTATATTTGCATGCTAGTATTTTGGTACTTTTACTTGAGTAACATTTGAAATGCTAAAGTAACCCCTTCCACACGTACATGTGCCATAAATCTCTCCGATAGGCTAAAAGAGCCATGTGAATACAAAGAAAATCAGCATTAAGTGCGGAGTCTTAAAACTGTCTAAATGGTGCAGTGATGTATGGGGCAGCGGAGGAGAAGATGCAGACTGATATGATAAGTCAGTGTACAGTATAAATATAAATTCATGTTGGATCCCTGCGGCCTGCAGCGGCTGACAGTTATTATTCAGATATGACAACATCCCTGAGCTGCACTTTACATCCCATCTTCATCACCCCGGCGAGCTCCACACTCTTCAGCCTGCCTGTCTAGTCTGTGATGGACACGTACACCCCCCCCCTCGTCCTCGCCCCACACCCACACCCCCCCCCCCCCCCCCCCCACTATACCTCCTCCACCCTCACCCAGCCTTTCAGTGTGCAGGCCTGCTGACAAAGCTCTTGTCAATTAGCTGCAGGAACCACGTGTCCACAAGGAGGATTTATGCCTCTGAATTCATTCACGGACAGTTGAATCAACAGTAGGAGCAGCGTCCCACAGCTCAACAACACAGCAAATAAATATATGAATACATTATATATTCAAAAAGACACTCTAGACTTTAAACAAATATGGGTTTAATGGGCAAAAAAAGTTACATTTAAAAGTTATTTTGCAAAATCAAAGTCATAAATAAACTACATTTTAAGGTAGCTTTAATGTGAGGCCTTTACAACACTACTTTATTTAGCAATTATAAGCATTGGTTTAGTAAAAAACTTGAATATCTGCTTTATAACAAATGATTTATCAGCAGATGTAATTGTTTATTTAAGAATACTGTATGTCATCAACTGTAAGTGTATAAACATAATGAATGATAATATATGCACAGTTGTAATACTAGTTATAATAATATATCAATACTGTTAATTATTAACACTTCATTGAGTTATACATGCTTACAGTAAAGCGTGACCTACATCCACCTAAGTGATTATTCCCTCTCGAGTCCCACACACACACACACACACACACACACACACACACACACACACACACACACACACACACACACACACACACACACACACACACACACACACACACACACACACACACACACACACACACACACACACACACACACACACACACACACACACACACACACACACACACACACACACACACACACACACACACACACACACACAGCTAATTAAACATATATAATTCAAAGAACGTACTTTTCTCTTTGGATCTCATCTTCTCAGATTCTCCGTCCTGTGTGTTGGCTTGGAGCAGTTTGTTGGGGTCCTCCTCACATTTCCCTGGAAAACTAAAACTCCTCCTCGACCATACAGGCGGTGCAGGCAGTGAAAAGAAGATAAATGATGTGCCGAACAATGGCCCACATTCAAGGGCCCGTCCTGCAACTCTCACAGATGTCATATTCTCCAGCAATGTGCAGCTAGAAGAGAAAAAAATAAAATGACTCAACATTTTGTATGGACTCTGGTGAGGGGCCTGCAGGACTCCAGGCACAAAAACAGCACACATTTCCCACCACGTCTAACATGCCATACAGTGGTTATTGCCAACATTAAATAGCATTTCCTTTGTCTTTAAATTATGATTATGTTCCACTCGAGGTGAAGTGTCATCACCTACATACTCCCCAAGAAGCGAATTTGTGGCTGCTGCTATTTTTACACAAATTCGGATCTACAGGGTATATATAGGTGACAGGTGGTCAGCACATGGAGCTGCAGCTTCTTGTTACACATTTCATATCACACATTTGAAAACAGCACACTCGATTCAAGGAATTTAGAGCTTTTAAATGTCATCTTATCTCTCTCAACTTTAACAAGACAGCCCTTATAAAGAGTTTATAACATACTATTAACAGCTTTATTAATGGTTAGTTAAACATTTATGTGTCATAAGAAGAGTAGAAACATTTTGTGTTTCCAGTTTTTGAAAAAAGTAGTGGTGGTTATCCTTCTCAATTTGGTTATAATAATAAGCTCATGGGGTTATGACTGCCTAATAAGCCATACATCTGTCATTATGAATGTTAATACAATCATTAATACGTTTTTTCTTTTTTAAATCAAGCTTGCATTTATAAATGTTAATAAGTCCTCAATAAAGGGGTTTATTAAATTAAGTCTGCATTTAATAATGAGGTACAATGATTAATTTCTGCAGTAATAAATGTTATTAAGTCTAAATAAAAGGTAACAATCCACCAAATATGAGGTTCACCACCTAAAATGTTTTTATTTATGGCCTTTAGCAAATCTTAAGAATACTCATAATCATGATTTATTACCCATTAAATACGTTTTTGTTGACAGCTTTTTGGTGATAGTTATTAAAAACATGTTAATATCCCATATCTCAGTATGTTAGGGGTTTAGGGTCTTTAACCTTGTTGGTCATATAAACTGAGTGTTGTCTCCCGTTAGGCTCACAGTGCAGGAGGAAATACTCAGATCCTTTACTCAAGCAAATCATGTCGAAATATATTAAAGTATTGCATTCCAAATCTTAAGTAATGATTTTCAACAAAAGAAATACTCCAGTATTCCACAGAGAAATGTACCAGGGATATAAAGACATGACACATACTAGTTTCCTTGCAGCATGTTAATGTTGGAGCTGCTCAATGGAGCTGGTTGTAATACCTTTTATCCAGTGGTTCTCAACCTAGGGGTCGGGCCCCTCCAAAGGGTCACCAGATAAATCTGAGGGGTCATGAGAAGTTGAACTGATGAGGAAGAAGAAAAAACAAGTGCTGTTACACAAATGTGTATTTATATTCTGTACATTTATATGAAATGTTACATTACCTGACCTAGCTTGAACAGTTATTAAGTTGGAAGGGGACTGCTAACACCATACACATTTTTTAACTGGTCTTAAACCAAAAAAAGATAGGAACCACTGGTTTATTTGTTTACATTGCACTTGAAATAGATCCTCTTTTCAAGAGTAAAATCAGGTGGGGAAATTCTCAAGAAAAAATAACCAACACTTGTTACACAGCTTCTTTCCAGGATAATAAAGTGAGGGAAAAACAGTTTAAGTGAACAAATTACATCCGTGCACTCTATATAATAATAAGTGCAACAAAATAAGAGAACTAAATATATTTATATTTGTTAAAAAAGCCTCATCTAAGACATACTATGATACAAAATACTGTTTTCTTCATCCACATCTTTCTGTGCCCTGGAACTCTATTCTAGAGTCGCCTAAAAGAGAAAACACAAATCAATAGCTCAGGTATGATTGTTTACATATCATTATGAGGCTGAACTACCCAAACAAAGAGACAAGGAAAAAATAGGTTCCATTCTCAGCTCAAAGAGTGCAGGATTAAAGGTTAGTAATAAAGAGATGATGACTGCTGAACAGGCTCACACTGGTGTTTCTGTGTTGTGCTCTGTAACCTCCATGGCTCTAATGATAGCAGCCTGAGCAGAGAAACCCATCCATCATCCGCCTGCTCGGTCTGAGGCGCCCTCTGCTGGCACAACCCCTGCACTGCACCTGCACACAGCTCGCTGCACTGCCAGATGTTCGGCATCCATGACACGAGAAACTGGCCTCACAAAATAAACAACCAAGGTGACATTTGTCTCTAGCGAATTCCATTATTATGATTTAATGAATGCATTCATTTCCACGTGAGAAGTAGTCCATTAAAAAAATGTTATTGGCAATAAGTTATTTTATGTAAAAAGAAAAAAACACATTATTTCTCCATTATATTTATTTTTATATAACTGATTTTGAAATGTATTGTTTACACTAATTGAGTTGAAACAGAAGCTGCATTAGTAAACAGTGATAACACATATTTTATATTATAGACAGAACCCATAAGCGATTTAAAATAGTGTTTGTGATGCATTATGGTGCCTTTTTATTTACTATAATAGTAAATAAGTAATTTAATATGTATAATAAATAATAGGACAACATACAGTAGGCTATATGCACCACTTTTTATTCATGTGTTCAAACTATAAATAAAGTCAGAGCAGACAAAAAATAAATTCTGGTAATTTTACGCATTGTGTTTGCAGTGATTTTCACCCAAAACCACAGTCTCTATAATTTTAAATATAACAGGAATTTAAAAAAAGATTGAAGTACATTATCTTTTGTGCAAAACACAGGCTTTTTCCATCTCGGTGGTGACAGTGCAAAGTGTGGCAGCAGAGCTTCCTGCAGTCCGTCTACTGACCCAGCGATGATCCCCGCCGCCATGAATTATGCATGAGATCCGGCTACAGATTACCCCTATCAATATGCAATACTCATTACGCTGGTTAAATTGCCACTTAATAGTTATGAATATGTGGAAAATGTCTGGGACCCATATAGCCCACCACTGGTTTTTAACTTTTTTTAATTTTTTACATGAAATGAGTTTGCACAAGTTTCACACAACCTTTCATTTCCTGGAGATAATATCATTAGTTTTTATTAGTCAAATGCATATAAGCACACACATGGCCTGCATGGAGATTTCTTTATGTTAAATCAGTGAAGCTTGTGTCCAGCTCTGGGGTGTCCGAGACTTCACCTTTGGCCGCTCGGTGACTCGACACTTCGGGATAAATCACTGCTGGGACTCGCTCAAGTTCGCTGCGTGTCAGCTGCATAAAAGCCAACAGTTTCAGCCTTAAATACAAATTATTAGATTCTTTTTTTTCTGCAGAACATTTTGTGTTTTGGAATGTAATGGTGTGTTCCATTATTTATTTTAAACAAGAAACTTTAAAGTTGGATATTGCTTAACACAAAAGAGGCCTTTAAAGCCTTTGTTTCCAAACATTTTCCAATAAGTTTGTTGAAAATATTGGAATTGTCAAATAATGTTTGCTCTTCTTCGTGTAGATGTGTTGAAGAAATCAGGATTTATTTTTTTTCCTAATAGTTTCAGATTTTTTTTATTTTAAATTAAGAGATATTTAACACACTTCTAAATACAATTCTAGCAGCCACAATATTTGTATAGTATTATTTCCCAAGTTTTTCCAGCAGCCTAAACTACCTAAACACAACTGGACACTTCCTCCCCTGTCCAGCCTTTCCAGTCCCATCCATGCAGTTAAGCCGTCACTTTCATTCACGGTTGTGAATTATATAGTACATTGTCTACTCCCCAAAACCATAAAACCAACTTTATGGACCTCACGTGACTTTTCACAGTCTGTAAGTAATATAGGTCTATACAATCTTTGGTAAGGGGGATTTTTACCAACTTCAGCCTGGCCTATATACCTGTAAGCCAAAGCTTTTTGGGGATTTTATCAGCAGCATATTCCCCACATGGCACACACGCATCTCGCTGCAGAAGAGTCAGAGGAGGTAAGTTTGAAAAAAGTTAGATATTTATGTTTTTGCGTCACTTTGTGTGTGCTACAAAGAGACAAAATCTCGTCTAAAATGTGTATTGTTCGTGTGACACTTTTATAATTCTCACAAGTTAACCATTAAGTTAAATTCGGGTCAGAAAAAGTTGTTACGCAGCTGCTTAAAAAACTAAAAATGGCGTGACTTACATGTGTTTTTATTCTAATTGATAATAAAGTCTAGACAAGCAATTTGAATTGAGAAACTTTTATTTCCAAGCGCTATGAGTTCACTTACAAATACAAAAAGCTTATTGGCGAAAAAAGCTTACATCACTTGCCTATCCACAGAATAACCCTTTGCACAAAAAAATGATCACATTGACAGGTTGAATACATTTGCATTGCTCAATAATTATCCTAAACAATAATAATAATAATAACAACAATAAGAGTTGCACAAAATATTCCTAAAGCTACACAATTGGCTTGAATGGATGTTGGCCACAAGATCAAAAATAGCAGTAAAACTTACACTAAAGCGCTTTGAATGGCCCCGGAATACATTAGGTTTACATTCAATGAAGAGCAGCATATGGTTTGGAAACTTTTTTTTTTTGTTGAACTGTACAATGAATTTACTCCTGTTAGACCGTCAAGAAGTCACAATAAAGAGCTCAAGTTGAAACACCTTCAAGAAAGAGTGAGGAGGGAGGGAATGATAGATAGAAAGAGAGACAGAGAGACAATTAATACCCCCAATAATATTTACATCTTATTTTCCACATCTAAGCTATATCATAGTACAACAACAGAACTAAAAATGGCATTTTTTAAAGACCACAGGATACTTATTTTTCTATCACAATAGCATGCTGAAAGGTGCTGCACTTCCAAATAGCTTTACAGTACTCATGGATTCTTTTTTTAATCATTTCTTTTTTCTGAATTATTATTATTATAATTATTTTTTGTTTTACCTTCCCCCCCAAAAAGTTATTCAGTTGTGGAAGGCGCTGCCTCCTGTCACCAGACTCATGCTTTTCAGTTTATTGTCCTTCTTCCACTTCATCCTGCGGTTCTGAAACCAGATTTTGATCTGTCTTTCGGAAAGACACAGGGCGTGGGCTATCTCTATCCTCCGCCGCCTGGTTAGGTACCTATTGAAGTGAAACTCTTTCTCCAGCTCTAGCGTCTGGTACCGGGTGTACGCGGTTCGGGCCCTTTTCCCATCCGGTCCAGTCATATCTACAATTTTTACAGAAAAGCCACACAGTTAGCAACTGCACTGCAACAACAACAGAGGGTCTTTAAATGTGGCTTCACCATGAGGATGCACAGAGGGGTCACAAGATGGGATGATGCAGAGGAAGCATGCAACCAACACGACACATTACACACTTAACTGTGCATTTCTTATGTCAAAAGAGCCAGCCTGCACACATTTGAACATCCTCTCTCATACCTGCACCTCCGTGTTACAAATACTGTCCTTTTCTCAATCATCCACACCAACCAGCTCACTCATGCAACACTTGACAGATTTACGATCAGCGTGACAACCTTCCAAACTAAATATTATTTAGAGGCAGTAAAAAATTACCATGGTTTATGTGCAGTTTCCTCATCCAGGGGAATATTTGTGGCGATTGGCAATCATTTGACGTGGGAGTGGAAGAGGTGGCGTTGGGGTCCTGGTGCTGCTGCGCCCGAGGAGCCGAGGTGGAGCCGCCGCTGCTGTGCGCGCCCTCCTCGGTCTCAGAAGCGACCGTGGCGTCCTCTATCTCCGTGAAATGAGCGTTGTTGTTTTTGTTGAGGTTGTTACCGCTGGAGGTCGAGCTCCGGTCAGATGGAGGAGAGGGGCTTTTTAGTTCCAGCTGCTCCTGGCTGACCGTGGCGCACGACGGCGGCACCGGATCTGGAGACGAGAGCGAGCAGTTGGGAGTCTGTCTGTAGCGGGCGTCCGGCTCGAATCCCCGGGCATCCTCTCTCACCGCCCCGAAGTGGCCGCCGTTGTTGGTGCGGTTCACGGTTAGGTCCATGCCATTGTAGTTGTAGCCGAAAGACCCGGAGTGCATGGTGCCAGGGTCTCTGAAGGAGCCGTTCACAGCGCCGTTAGTCCCATAATTTAGTAACTGATAGTCGGAGCCATTTGGATAGCGCCCTGAGAACGAGTTTACAAAGTAAGAGCTCATTTGCTTGGATTTTTAAAGCCTCGATTTGTAGATCTTTGTCGCTATAATCCTGTGTGCTTGCACGATTTATGGATGCAATCATGAATTATAAGCAATGAAGCCCTACTGTACTTTGCCAGGTATGCGGCCAAATATGGGAGAGCGTTCGGGAATCACGTGCCTTTGTTGACCAGTCGTAAATCCTCACTGATGACTTCAAGAGGTAATTCATGCTCCATGGTTACAAATGATGACGAAATAATGGTCGTTAGGCTCCAGTCAATGGTGCCTCCCCGCTGCGCCCCGAGAGCCGCGCAGGCAGAGAGCGCCATCTTGCGGACAGAGGAGGTATCACTCCGCCGGGACGCGCTGTCAGGCCCTAAAGTCATCCATCATTTATGTAACGCGCTCATAATATAGGCCACAAAAGGCTCAGGTAACACATAACAAAGACTTATCAGCCACACGGCCGTAGAGAGTGTCAAACTGGAAATTATTATAATCTTTACGCAGGTTTTATGTGTACATATGGGCTTATTTTATAGCTTATTGTGACTACAGGAGCAGTTAAGCGCCCTATAATAACAATGCCATGCCTTTCTAGTTATGATAATAACAATAAGTGTCGTTTTCCTTGTGTATAAATGACGCCACAAGATTTTCCAATATACATCAAAAAGCCTTTATTTCTATGTACAATTTTCTAAACAAAATATTGCACACAATATCCAGATGTGCATTGAACACAAGGTGAACGACAATAAATAACATGTAACATTTTTTTGTATCTGTACAAATGTTAAGTGTTGATGGCACAGCTGTAAACAACAAGACTATTATTATTATTAGAAGTATTATTATTATTATAGGACAACTAACACCACAAGATGTACAATGAAGGACCAAAGCTTCTTTTAATGTCATAAAAATAATAATAAAACGCAGTAGGCCTACGATAATGAGGTAACAACATTGTCAAAAACTAAAACACTAAAAAAGTATTTACATTTTGGCGGGTTTTGCATAGTCCCCTAAATAAACACACGAGCACAAGGACAAACAGAGGAGGACCTGATGGGAACCTAATGCAGACATTATCACCGTGCAGAAACTGAAATACAGTCTATCACCCTACACGTCTCTAACATGGGATTTGCAGCACTTTATCTACAAAGAAATACATTTTTATTTTTAGGAGGGTGTCATTTAGCTCTTCTTCTCCGCCTGTTCCTCCTCCTCGGGTGTCTTTGAGGGGTTCAGGAGTTTGTTCTCCTTTTTCCACTTCATCCTGCGGTTCTGAAACCAGATTTTGATCTGTCTCTCCGTCAGACACAGGGCGTGGGAGATCTCTATCCGGCGCCTCCTGGTCAGGTAGCGGTTAAAGTGGAACTCCTTCTCCAGCTCCAGAGTCTGGTAGCGGGTGTAGGTCTGTCGGCCCCTGCGGCCACTGTTGCCAAATGGACCTGGAAGAAAAAAAGAATGGAATAAAATCATGAATTAATTATTAAACGTCTGCTTTACGTGAATTTCGAAAATAGGAGAGACATCTACCTGAGAATGCTGAAATCTGTAGTGGTGTGTCTGAAAGAATACAATAAAGTGGTATTTCAGATATTTGGTGTATTTCAACTCAAAACAACAGGCTTTTAACATTGAAATATAATAGTTTGTTGTGAAATTAGTGGGAAAATATAAAATAAATAATTAACTTTACTTTATTGTAGGATTTTTTTAAATGTTTTCCAAACAGCCCACTATATTTGACCAAGATCACATGATGTTACGCAGATAGAACTCAAAGGATTATATTCCTTTACACAAATTACACAAACTATATTTTAACTTAACACGTCTTAATAATACACATAAGACGCTTTATAGAGGCTTTAAAATGACATTTACACATTTTTTACTCTACAAAAAATAAAAAATATCCTAAATGATGTCATCACTATAAACTACTCTGGGTTGTAGCCTTTATTGTGTGAACTGCGTTGTGCGTAAAAGTGCCCTGATGGTGTATTTTCTCCCTTACTGCAGCAGTGTATTGTTCTATAAGATTACAGTAAGGATGTACAGTCAGAGTGAAACTGCGCAGTGAGGAACAACACGCATAAAACGTCACGTTTTATTTTTTAGATGTACTCTTAATTTTTGTATTGGACATTTAATCGCTGCTAGAAGTGTTTCTGCGATATTTAGTATCCCTCTAAAAATGAAAAAAGGCCCATTCCGAAGATGCCATGTGACACTTAGCTTTAAGTTGGAGCTCCGCTGGTGTAGGCCAAGTCTGTGTGGACGTGCGTGTGTGTGCGCGTGCCGTAGTGTATGTATGTGATGATGATGTAGCAGCCAAAGCCCTGAAGGCGCACAAAGATCCGTGCGCAATCACAATAATATCACTTTGGGCTCAGTAATGGCGTAATTATTTGATGTTTCTAAGTTGATTACATATAGCGTGAGCTCGGAGCTCGCATACAGCTGACAGGTGACTGTGTGCGGCTCGGGATGCTCGCTCCATCACGCGGAGAGCTTTTACCTCCAGGCTGCGTGTCAACAACAGAGTTTGTACTCACCGGCGGAGCAGGCGTTCATCCTCTGCATCCACGGGTAGATGAGGGTGGAGGACTTGTCGTCGATGCTGCTGCCGCTCATGCTGACAGTGTGCTCCGCGCACTCCGCTTTGCGCTGCTCCTGCGTGACAAACAGCGGCTGGTCGTCGCGGTGACTCGAGAAAGCGCACGAGCCATCCGCGTCCTTGTAGAAAGTCCCGACCGGGTTGTAGTCGCAGGGCGCTCCGCCGCCGGCCCTCCCGTAGATGGCCGCGGCAGCTGCGCCCGTCTGCTGGTAGTAGGACGCCGGGTAAACCTTCTCCTGCATGTTGGCTGCTCCATATGTGGCCGCGTTGGAGTAGTGTCTTAACTGATCGGTGTATCCCGAGGAATATAACGGTATCTGACCCAGGAGAGAGTCCTGTCCTCCCGGCAGAGACACGGGAAAAGTTGAGTTAACAAAATAGGAACTCATTGGGTGGACAACGGGGTGTATATACTCCGGAGGAATATGATTTGTTGTCTTTTATAGTCCAAGTGGTTTTGCCATTACTTTATCCGAGATTTGGTTTTTGCTGAAAGGGGGGGTTGTGAGGTGCCACTGAATACAGAGGGGAAGTGTACCATCTGATCAACCGCTGGCCAATCACCGCCGTCTGTGTTTGCACTATTGCACCCATGGGGGGCTCTTGTTGCGCGCAGGGGTCCCCGGTGAATCGAAATGAAGCGCTCGAGCCTATCGGTCTTTACGCACGCTCACGCACACAGAGAAGCAGCTCATATAAATACACTTTAAAAAAACATGCTACATTTTGAACAATTAGTGGAATAACTTTTCGTTGTATGCAAATAAAGCCCAATAAAGCAGATGGACTCCCCTCTATTATAAACAAGCACGCGTGTAAAAACTCCCCCTTTCTCTCTTACACGCACACAAACACAATGCAAAAAAAAATTACTTTGCGCATTATTTCTATTTGCGCACAAATGACTGGCTCTCTCCTCCTCTTCCTCTAGCATTCACTTCCATCTTTTTAAATGATTTAATAACTAATAAACCAATCAAACACTGTATCCTTAAGGCAGCAGCCACATTCACAATAATCCGTGTGAATTAATCCAAATGATGCAACGACAAAAATAGTGCGTCAATAATGTTTGTTTTTTCACTCTTTAAAAAAAAGGTGTGAGCTCTTCCTGATTTCTGATTCAACACCAGCTGTGACTGAAGTCCACGCAGACGTGCAGAGGACACGAGGGAGGACACGCGCTTGCACACTGATCATCATCACCTTCATCATCATCATCATCATCATCTTCACCCACCGTGATCAAGTGGGAACTAGTTCCTCATTTATTTCTTAAACTGTGTGAGTATAAATGTGAGAATTCAGCCTGGATGATGATTAAGTTCCAATTAATAGATGTGTTTACAAATAGTTAAGAAAATCAATTAGTTACTTTAAGTGTATTATTATTCATATCATTTTTATTATGTTATTAACGTTACTTTTAGTAGCTGTTTACAATGGTATGCTCATTATTGATCAATTAAGTAATATTACTTGCTTAGTATTATTAATGACCTTCATATTTTGTGGTTCTTCTGCAGTTAAAGCCTTATTATGGGCTTCTTAATAAGAGTTTACAGTCCTTTCTTTAAAAACACATTTGTGAATTTGTTAAAGTTGTTATAATTTACATTTATGATTTTTTCCTAATTCATAAAGATAATTTCCTGCTTTTTACATAGCTTTAGCTTTGATAAAACACACCCTATTAAATAATACATAATTGAAAATAACGAAAAAAAGCACTGTGTTGCTGGAATAATGTGACTCTTTATTGTTTTTGCATTATTTTGAATTCATTAGGCAGAAAAATAAATATTTGATGCATATTAGCTCATTAACAATCCTGATTTTCACTCTGCTGTTGCTTTAGATGCAGAACGCTGCTGATGTTTGTTTTATTTTGATAATATCTATTTATAAATCATTTGGATTTTAATGTTTAAATTAAATGATATTATTATTTGGCTACAGTCAGTGAACGCCTCTCCACAGGCCGCAGCCTGACAGCTGCTGCAATTGGGCAAATAAACAAACAAACCCACTAATTATACAACTGCTCTGTCAGAAAGACACACATGCAGTCATATATTTCTACAGGATCACATGATGTTATATAAGCTCTCATTAAACTGCAGGATCGAACACGACAACACAGAGAAGGGCTGCAGAGGCGCCGGAAATCAGATTAAATGTTTAAAATGCTCATTATTGACTTTAACGTTCATGCAAAATGATAAATTGGCCTCAAAAGAGCAAATAGAAGTCCAAAATGATACGGTATTTAGATAAAAAGAGGCGAAACAGCTCGATTCGGCAGCGAAATATCCACATATGCACTTCTACCACTGTTTTTCAAAATATAGCAATAAAATAAGGCAATATAAAATGACATACAATAGGAGTAATTCTTCTAGGCGAGTAAAGCGTGGATAGATAAAGCAGATTTTTAAGAAAAGCGTGAATCGGCGGTATCATACAGGGCCTGTATGACCATCATCACCATCATCATCGCCACCATCATCATCAAAGTCAAGCCTGTCTGTTTTACAGAAGCCACTCCTGATTATATAACATTTTAAATCTTCAAAAGGCCTCACATTTGCAACATGCAGGTTTATTTTCCCACATTTTATCGCACAAATATCGCTCTGTGGCTCCAGCATGTAACGGGTTACACAGCCAGATCAGCAACTGGTTGTGAATACCACACAGCGTACGAAAGCACCGAAGAAGATTCTTTTGGATAATTGCCATTTCTTAAAGACTGATCTTCCCATTTGCAGTAATATAAACAGCAGGCCTACAGTGACAGTCCAGCCACAACAGAGCAGCAGCGGCGCACTTGTGTGGAGATAATCGCTGGCATATTAGAAACATGGTGCCCTTACCTTTGTTGATAATCCATCATTTCCAGTGTGGCTGCCACTCCGCGCAAAACTCCTCTCTCCTCCTCTGAAGTCTTTTTCCCCACAAATCCCCTACTTTGTTCAAGTGATTTCATGGAAATAATCCCACCATCCAGGGCTGTGATGATCCCTCATTTCCCCCGACCATATAGCTACACAAGTAGGCTACAGCCACATTAACATGGCGCACATAGCTCCTTCCGTCAATTTTTGGTAAAAATACGCACGTCTCACAACAAAACTGCGTACGCGTGTAGCATAAACAAAGAGCCAAGAAAAAGGTTGTGTTACTAGTGTTAAGTGAATGAGCGGTGGAAAACAGCAGCTGCAATATAACCTCATGGGAAATAAGTTCCCATTCTGCTGTCCACATGACCGCCAGCGACCAATCCCCGAGCCAGGCGCGTCGTAAACTTCCAAGGCAAAGTTGTAAATTTTCATAAACAGCAGCCGTTTTTGTGCTTCAGACATGCTTTCTCATCGCCATCTTTATTTTCTCCAAGGCCGGACATGTTAGGATTGGATGCAGGATTACAAGGGAAAGTGGAAATATGTGGAAATGTGAAGGTTTAAGAGAGGTGGAGATTTGTTCTGATGTGTTCCAGCTTCTGACTAAAAAGGTCTGTACAGCTTTGAATTCTCCTAAAATAACAACTGTAGTGATATCTGCTTTTTTAAAGACTTAAATCAGTATAATATACTATTTTGGCGTACATTTGCCAATATATTAAAGCTTATAAGGCCGCTTTCTTTACATTTGTTTCACCTTCATTACGAGAAGTGCGTCATTTTACGCCTCAAACTCAGATCTTATTTCCTGCTTGTTTAAAATGGTTTCAGGACAAAGCTATTTTTGCATTAAAGGCTATTGTGAAATCCCAAAATAGAAGATTTTCCTCCAGTCGCTGCAGAACAGTTTGAAATTGACCATTCAGGCCAAAAATGGAAATAGAGTTCGACTGATTGGAATCCTGAGGGGGATTTTAAGGTCACAAAAACTTGAGGCGGCACATTAGCCAACTTTTCTATCAAGATTATAAGGGCGAAATGAACAGAAGTCATGGAAAGCCAAATTAATTCTTTAAACGTAATTCTTTTTTTTTCTAGTCTTATTTCCGTTTTTGGATTGTTTGAAATGGCCTTTTTCAGTTGGCATCTGGTGATTTCCCACAAACAACCAGGATTTCCGACATTTATAGACGCAATAAAACCATAAATTCCTGAAATGCAACACTTTCATCCTCCCCTGGCCTCCAAGACACACAAACTCAGACAAAGTCACTTTATTTTCCTTAAAATGTCATACTCCCGGATAAAAATACGATCAACAAAAATTAGCTTTGAAACGTGTAATTATTTCCAAAAACAAAAGCTTGTCATGTTTATCTTCTGATCTTTAATATTCATTCCTAAAAGTTAGAATAATGAAGCATAAATCTGATTAGGCCTTTCAAATCATTAGCTTTCGTAATGTTGTAAAAGTTCAAAAATGAAAACCAAGTCCTCGGAGGGGCCATGCTTGCTAAAATATATTTTATTAAAACTCTTTCGATTCAAATTAGTCGATAAATGGGCCTTTTTTTAGGCGCGAGATCGGACATTTAAAACTCTATATAATGCAAGATACCAATTCGACATATAATAATAATATGTCTGCACACATTACTGTCCATCTATATTTTCTGAGCTATTAAGATCATCTTTACTTATAGAAAAACGTTTCTCACAGTGTTGTTGGATAATTTCGTCTTTTTTTTGTTTCTTTCTGTCTTCAGGCTGCGACCAAACAAAAGGAACCGGATGCTGTAAAACTTTATGGCCTCTTCAACTCTCATTCTTCGAGATGAAACCACACACACTCCTTTTCGATTAATAAGTAACTTTGTAGCAAAACTGAAAGATGTCCGAAATAATAATAATAAAAATAGGCATGTATTATATTTAAATATGCAACCATAAAACATTATAAAATCACTGGAATCTATTTCTCGGAAAATTGAATTAAACAAGAAGGTGATTTATAAAAATATATAAAAAAAAGATAAAATATTTTGTTGACCAATAGTGCAAAAAAAAATCAAAACTTGACTGCTCATGAAAAACGTCCTTGAGAAAAGAGCAGAAGGCCTTTCTTTTTTAATATCCCTCAGTTAATCTTGAGATATGGTTTTAGTGGTGTTTATAATATCCATTTGGTTTCATTAAGCACATTCATGCTCATCAACCCCTTATAACTACTGACTTTATTAGATTCTGGCCCATTTTTCCAGAGGATTTGGATGATACATGCTGTTAAATCAGGCTTGTCTGCTTTTATTTTGGCACTGTGAGGTTTATTTGAGATAAATTCATCCCCGGAGCAAAATGTTACACATATGTGAGCACACACAGTGGGTAGAAAAAGTGAAAAAGCCATAATGGTGTTGTCTGCAGTGCAGGAGCTTATTGAGTGGCAAGCAGAGTAAACTGCAGGAGTCCAGATATAAATCTATCTA